TGGGAGTTGCCAGGAGCATCTGACTTTTGCAAATGCACAGTGGGAAAAACATGACAAGGCGGGGAAAAAAAACCCCAAAACAGGGAAGGAACACTGGTGTCTATAAAGAGGTTGAGTAAATCTCCATAAAAATGTAGCAGCTTAAAATTAGGAAAAAAATTGGAAATTACTAGGAAAGATTCAATTGTAATCCTTTCAAAAACCTGAAGCAATTAGACAAAGCCAGAATTACCAGCAAAGTTGACAAAGGATTTGATGAATGTGCAGCTCAGCTTACAGAGACAAAGACACTGTGTAAGTCCATTGAGCCTAACAGAGCTACTCCAAGGCTGGACTTTGCTAGCAATGAATGGCAATAAAAAACCCTTCATATTTCATGGATTACCTAAAATAAGCAATGTAAACACAATCCATTACCCGGTTTTGTTCAAGCTTATAGTGCTTCATTGGCTGTTACCTGTGGATCTCGACAGGCAGAAAAGTAAAGCATAAGCAATGTTGGTGGTGCAGAGGGCATTGGCAGAGTCTGGGATTTGAATGTTCCTGTAGATCTCACTGAGATGAGCCAGGGCTTAGTGTCTGAATACCCCATTGCTATTTCTGCTGTCCCTGATGGGGCAAGGCAAGCTGTGAAATCTCACAGGTGTACAATGTTTAATTAAAAGGCACTCCATTCTGAGTTTTGCTGAGTAACAGAGAATAACCCTGCACTGAATTTTCTGGTTCAATCTGTGACTCAGAGCCTGCCCTCTTACTTATGGGTGTGAACATATTTTGGAAGTTAGATAAATGTGCAGTCTGTCCAGATACTGAACCTCTCCTCTTCCTAATACCTGCAGGGATGTGATTTCCACACGTGTGGATACAGTCAGAGGAAGAAAGTCACCTCCACTGGGGGAATGGGAGGTTGAGAAAATTAAGTTCCAGCAGTTGTTTTCATACCAATTCACTCTGTAACCTTGGCATGACATTTTACTTCATCTGTAACCTGAGGGTAGAGATATCAACACTTGTTCAAGTAGTAATATCTTCAGCATTTACATTTCTTGTGTGCAGGGGACTGAAACAGAACTTCCATAACGTGGGCAGCTTTCAGACGCCTCAGACTTCATCAAAGTTCAAGATCTGGGATTTTAAATTAATAAATTGATAGAGATTAATGAAATTTCATAATGTATTTTGATCTGACTATTGTATTACACTCCAGAGATCCCTCCTTCTGCCATTCAGATGCGAAGCACCAAGTTAGGTGGTAATAAATGTAAGCCAGACAGCTGGAAAAACACAGGAATTCAGTCAACTGTAGAGTGACAGGAGTGGTTTGGTGTGGCTGGTGTGGCAGCAGCACCAGAGCTGGGAATGCACTGTTCTTCTTGTTATAAAGAAAATGAGGACCCAGATTAGCATTTCCAGGACCCAAGTATCAGATGAACACAGTCACAAATATGATTGGGAGTTGAAAATCAGAGTGACTGTTAAATATTTTCTTCACAATCTTTCTCTAACCATTATTGGGGATACACTTCAACAGTCCAATTTTAAGCTGTCTTGCAAAGTAGCAGACTAAATTCCCTTTATATTCAAAATAGGCTTCTCTGGAACATCATTAATCTCACCTATTTTCAGTGTCTACATTATTACGAGAAGCATCTTACTATAAAAGTGCCAGCCTCTGCTTCTCTCTGCTGAGAATGAAAGTTTGAGGCAATTACCTTGAATGTGGGGGGTCTATTGCAGACATCTGACATTAAGGGAGAAGAATCCCTTATCTCTTTTAACTTTTTCATTACACAATCTCAATCTACCCTTCAAAGTAAAATCCTTGCAAAATGAGCACACAAGAGGAACTGTAGAAGAAACATGGAAACTTCAGGATAGTTTTAAGTATGATAGTTAAATGGTCTTGCTTTGTATCAACATAAACATCCCAGTAATTGAGGACTTGAGAATTTGGTAACCAAAGAACTCTAATCAAGAGAGACAAAAATAGTTTTAAAAACTCCCAGTCTTTCCTTGCTTGTTGAAGACCTGTTTTCAGAATCAGATGGTAGTGAATAAGAATGACAGAATTTGATCCTTACAAAGGAAACCTATTTACATATTTCTGCTTCAGAAGGAATGCAGTCAGTTTTCCTTCTTTGCAGGGCAGATTTGGAAATCAGACCCAAACATAATGAATTTGTGCATGCTATGGGAGTCACTGGGTGTGACTGTAACCTGTGATGTGCACCAGATCTCACTGGAGGATGTAATCTCTCTGCTCTGTGACTTCCCTACTGCACCAAATCTGTTGAAGCAATGCCCAAGGGCTTCAGGAATGGGCTACCTCCCAAGGTGTTGTTTGATTTGCAAGGGAACTCAGAGTCAGTTTTGTAACAAGGCTTCTGCTGCAAGTGCTCCGCATGAACAATGACCTGCTCCAAGGTAATTTTTTTTTCCTCTACAAGTTCAAAGAGGAGGATTCTTCTTCCAGTCAATTAGTGGCCCGTCATTGGTGACATCTATACCTCTTGTGTGGTATTTTGAAAGCCTTTGTTTCTGAGGCCCAGAGGGAGTGGGAGAGCCTCCTGCTGATACTACACACAAGAGTTGTATATTTGGGTCTGATTTCCACAGCATGCCCAGAGGTACCTGAGTTGTGATGGGAGGGGGGTGTCTGGCTTGATGTCTCTGTTGTTCTGCTGTATTTTTCTTCTGCTGCCTCTAGGCTGATGAGCAGAGATAACAGTACGGAAAGAACAAAGCAGAGTCATCTTTTCTTGATTCTTCCCTGCTTTATTGGAATTGCAAGAAGGTTTCTGCTGTGTACCCACTGGTTTTTAAAGCAGTTAATCTCATAAATATAATCTCATATTAATAACAGAAGTGGCTTGTCCTGATTTGGTAGATAGCTTTGGCTCTTTATGTAGGCGCATGTGTGGCCTAAAGACCATATGAATTGGCATTCTGAATGATGTATTGCACTGTCCTGAATCTCTCTCAGTTGTTTCTTGTGTCTCTCAGAAAAAAAAAACCAAGCCAAACAACTCTCGTTTGAGTCTGGGTCGCAGTTTGTTAAATGCTATGTAAAAAAAAGGGGAAAAGGAAACAGCATATGCTCCTACTGACTAAAGAAATATTTGAAAGCCAAAAAGGTACTTAACAACCAGAGCTGAAATCACTGTATCTCCTCTGGGCTGAGGCACTTCCATGCTTCTGTAGAGGTCTTTGGTACCTTGCAGGACTGGGCTTTGACATTAGAAGTACTGCACCAAAAATTGCAGGTGGCAGGCAGTAGAGAGACCTCAGGCCATTGCAGTCATGGGGGATGCATTGATCTATTCCCAAAATAAATCAAGTAGAGTAACAAAACAATACATGTTGCATATGAAATGAATATCTCTTTCATAACCTTCCTGGCCAGGAGAAACTTCTGCAACTTTCAATGTTGTTGTTCTCTTCCCACCATGCTTGTGATCATCCTTTTTATCAAAACTTCCCTGCTCCATGTTGTTGGCATCCAGCTGGTAAATTCAAATGTCATTTTTCTAGACGGATCCATATAAAACTAGTTTAACTCTCTTTGACTTCTCTCCAAATGAAATGCTGTGACATACTGTCTTTTTGTCAGTTATGCTCTTATTTTGCACTGTTTTGTGATGGTTTATTTGCAGTAAGAAGCTCATTATCAGTACTCAAGGGTTTCACTGAATCTATGTCTCTTTTTACTGATGTGAGAGGGGTAAAAAGAAGAGAAGGAAAGCAATATACGCCCTCATGTAAGCAGTATGGAGTCTATGTACATAAAAGACAAATATTTTGGCTATATTCAAGTACAGAGAAAATGCTGTCTTCTTGCAGAAAAGATCAGAAAATTTGTTCAGATTGATGCAGTGAAGATTTGAAATGGAGATTGAATTAATTTCATAACTTGTCCATTTCTGTTGTCCTACATAAGAAAATACATGGTAACAAACTACTTATAAGATAACGAACAAAATATAAAGTAACGAACTTGAAACCACAAAGGAACAATTCCCTTTTAACCAACAACAAAGGAATAATGGGAAAAGATCAATGTTCATATCCTACTATTTCTGTGAATCCCAGCAAACCACCATTCCCTTAAAGATACATGTGAGAGCTCTGCAAAATCTTCAAAGCTTATTTCAAGGGGAAACATAGGTACAAAGGAGTGATCCAGTGGCTGTTTCTAATACTGCTTTGAGAAGTGCTTTCCACCCTTATTGTAAGTCTGCTACCTCTTTGGAGCAGTTTCTCTGTAAATTCATAGCAACTTCAGGCTACCTTGGTCAGAAATGAATGTTTGCACTGAAGCTTTTTACTTTACTTTCCTGAAACACTTTGGGATGTAGCTTCTGTTGAAAGCACATTGATGTTTTAAAGCCTTTTGAAAGGATGGCACATTTCCTGCAGCTCGCTGCTTTTGCACCATCTGGCAACTGAAATCTTCTCATCACCAAAGAGGTTTTATAAGGCATAATGCAGCCACACTTGTCATTCAAACTAGATCTGATGGGGTCAGTCCTTAGGAAACAGGATTAAAACCTTTGAGTAACCTTCAGATTCATTCAGTCCCTGGTGTGTGTTTTGTTCTTTAGGCCTTGTCAGCAAGAACAGGTATTTAATCACTACCAGGCATCCTGGTAGTGCAGCCATTAGGGGACTGTTTATTTACTCTCGGTGATAGTGTCTCTCAACACTTGCCCATTGCAAAATGAAATTACAGTCTGCAGGCCTCAGAAAAAGTGTTTGGTAAAATTTTGTGTTGTTAAACTCTGGCACAGATTCATAAAGGCAATAATTTACGTGCTGTTGCTATGTGAAGTATTCCACACCAAGCCCCAGCCTCTTCAGTGGGTGACAGTGACCTGTGTTGGATCTGCCATCTCGCTGGGTTACTGCTCTCAGTATTAGAGAATTTTGTTTTATCAGACTGCAAAGCAAGACCTGGGATTACCAGATGGCTGTAAAACATTGTGCTGTTTTTATGTTCTCAGGGTGGAACCTGCACTGACTCGGATCAAAGAAGATCGAAAGCGGATCATCTTACCAGCAATTGACAATATCAAGTACAACACTTTTGAAGTGCAGCAATATGCCAATGCAGCCCACGGCTATAACTGGGGGCTCTGGTGCATGTACATAATCCCACCGCAGGACTGGCTCGATAAAGGGGATGAGTCAGCTCCCATCAGGTAAATCTCCCGTATGCTGTCAGTTTGGCACCCGCAATGTTTCCATCTCAGCTGTCTGCCGCTGGGGAGTTTAAGTGAAGCAAGGCTCTAGGCTTTGTACAGGGATAGTAAAATGAAATGGAAGAAAACAGATGGCTCTACAAAGCTGTGGATGCATGTGTCACACCTCAGAGCTGCACCACAATGTACATAGAAGTGCAGGTGCTCTAGTTGTGAACGTGTGGTTCAAGTTCACGTTGTGGCCCTTCGTAGGATAGCAGGATCTTTTTCATCTATACTTTTGCTTTCGTGGACTCCGAGGTGAGTAACACACCAATGAAACTTTGTGTGTATGAGAAACAAAGGTATTTTGTATATGATTACAAAGAGTCTGGCTTCACTTTTGGTCTGTAGGCAATACTCTTGGCCATCAGCTCAAACCACAGCTTCCCAGCAGCACTAGTAGGAGATATATCAGCCTAGCCTTGTTGGAGAGTTGCTCTTTTTTTTGGAAAACTTTGTTCATTTTCCTACTGGATTAATTTTAAAACGAAACTGGACCACGTAGTTAGTGTGTCATTTTAATTTTCTCTAGAAGGGAACATTTTACCTTACAGAAATTGAATTTTTGAAGGAAATACTGTTTCAGGGATTGTGATAGCGTTTTTGAGAGTTGTTACACTGGGAAAACAGGAACTGATAAGAAAGGGAGTTGCTTTCCCTTTAATTTGAAAATTCATATCTCCTAGCCCTTCATCTCCAGTGCAGATGCTTGTCTAACAGCTCCTCTGAGATACTGTTCTGGGTGAAAGATACTATTAGCAATATTGAAAAAAATGCTAAAAAATCTGAAGCCTACGTATCCACTTTAGGTTCCTTTGCCCTATTTTTGAGATTTTTTAGGAAGGACACAAATTACCGCCTTAGAGTCATCTTCATTTTGATGTGTATCAGCTTCATCCTAGAGTAAGCTGAAACTCTATTGTATGGTCCTGGTGTAGGCTCTGGCAAAGAAGCTGATGTACTTCCCTTCCAGCATAGAGCTTGAGCTGTCAGGTCCCGAGAAGTCCATCCAAGCACTTCAAACAACATATCGAACTGAAGAGATCCAAGTGGTCTTTCGGAAGTGAAAGGACACAGACGAACTGTTGACATTTCTAAATGATTGGGTGGGGCCATCTCACAGTCTCTGCCCCTCATACAGCCAGTAATATTTCAATCCGTATTTGAGCAAGTGTTGCAGGTTGCACTTAGGTTCATTCTCATGTCCTGTGACTACAAAACAGAGCTATACAGAGACATTAACCTTATTTACCACAGGACAGCACAGTCCTTCATCACTGACCCTTTGCTCAGCTGGAAACCTCAATAAGCAGGAAAGTAATTACTTAGGAAATCAGTTTTCCTGGAATAACATGCCTTGCTCTCCTCATGTTGTTTCAAAAGTGCAGGTGTTTTATATCTGTTTCACTCAGCCCTGAGAAATAGTTTGTTGATGAAAGAAAATTAATCAGTCAAAGTTTTCATTCCTGAAATCAGGCTTTCAGTCTTTTATTCCTGAAAGGTTTTGCACAATTCATTGCTTCCAGTTTATATGTGAAATCACTGTATTAATTTTCACATGAGTTGTTCTAGTATTTGAGAATCTTCTGTTCTGGAGACAATGATCACATATCAGATAAAGCTGAACTAAGAAGTTAAACTTTAGCAAGTTCCTTAGACATGATTTTTAGTGGTGGTAACTCATGCACTTCCTAAAATATAGAAGCTGCATCTGCAAAGCACTTATGGAAATTAAACTACAGATATTTTTTAATAGAGAATAAAGAATCTCATCCCTGTAATGCTGGGGTAAGAGGGTTTTTTCAGCAATACAGAGGCTGATTTACTATGGGCTTTCCTCAGGTTTGTGTTCAAGCTCTTGCCAGAGTTATACTGGCACTGAGTTGGACTGATACAGAAGTGAGTAAGGTCTAAGCTCAAGCACTAAGTAGTGTTGAAATCCAATGCATGTAAGTATTAGCTGGCTCCTGAGGGCAGTGATTTTATTCTGAACCTGAGTGAGGAAACCCTCCAATTCAACAGTGCATAAGCTGCCCAGAGACAGATAAGACAGGCAGCACAAGGAGGAGAGCACCCAACCCTCACTGACAAATACCGAGAACACTGAGATGTTGTGATTGCATTAAGTATCTCTCCTGCAAATTAAGAATAACATGCCCTAAAACTGAGAGACGTCAACGTCGAACCGTGAGCACTTACCTGTCTCCCAGGGAACGCAGTGATCTAGAGGAGCAGAGCATCCACTCTATAGCCACACTGCACTGATTTCTGGTGGGTCTCCAAAGCAGTAGCACCTGGATGGATTTGATAAAGCATTTGACTGTGCTATTGTGTTATGCCTGGCTGTAGAAATACTTTTGTGGCTTTTAAGTGATATGCCAATGTAATTATGATAACAGAAAGAGTAAATGTGCAAGTGGTGATGAAAAGGATGAGGAAGTCTGTACTTAGAATTGAGATTTTAAAACACTCATGATGGAAACTTACCAGCTGTAAAAAATTTAAGGTGTATTTTCAAAAGGAAGGGAAAATTAGACTACTAAGAAAACTTTTTCAAAACTCTGTTGGTTTGCTACAGATTTTGGTTTCGTAACCAGCTTTCCACAGTGTGTACTGCAACTGTGATTCCTGTTTCAGTCCAGTTTGCAAGGCATGCAAACTGGTCCACATTGATGGTGTTTGGATCCATGTGTCTGTTCAGTGCATTCATAAGATTGCAGGACTGTTCATCAGCATGAAAACGGCAATTTTGTTTGGTCCTTGCTGACAATGACCCTCTTAAGGCTTCCTTTGACACTCTCTTCAGCAAATAGTGGGTTTGTTTTGTGTCTCTGTGTGTGTTTTGTAAAAGAAAAGGCTAATAACTAATAACCCTGTGACTGGTTTTGTGGTTGGTGTAGCTGAATCTCACAGATCTCCAAAGGGATTAAAGACTTCCAGTGTTAAAAAAAAAATGCATACCCTGGTATCAGTGAGGATCAGAGCCCTGGCATTTCTGATGTTTGCATTGTATGAATAAATATAACTGATCTGCAGAATCGGGTGAAAGCAGAGTCCAGTTCCTATTTTCTTCTGGGAGTATACAAATGACGTGCTTACTTATTTTCTCAGAAGTTTTCTATTTGAAGCCTGATCCTCTGCTTTCTTGAACATTAACAGTGGTGTGATCCTACTCTGAGCCTTGCTGGGAAGGAGCAGGAACTGTCCCTCAAGTCAGTGGGGCACCATATAGGCATTCGTGTCAAATGTACACCATAAAATGTCAGATCAGCTGTTGTGGTCCAAGTGACAAAGGGGATATGGCATAGAAGTGCAAACAAAGGTAAAGAAATAGCGAGAACAAAGTGTCAGATTTTGTAAAGATTTCTGATACAGTTTAAAGTTGGTTCCTCTTTTTTCCACATTAATACTCTGAAATTCAGAACAATTGATGTTTCCCGAATCGGTTTCTGCAGGCAATCCATTTTGCATGTTTGACATTTGAGATTTAAGATGTTTGTAATGTGAAGATTTAAATGAGGATTGTTATTTTGACACGCTATGTCCATCACATCATTTTCAATTTGTGTTCCTGAGAACACACTGCCCAAAACTGTCCTTATCATCTGGCAACAAACTGCATAACAAAGGATCCTATTTCAGAGGGTTTCTAATGAATTTGACTGTGTATTGAAACAAGCTGGGTTTTTTTCTGTATGCAGAAGATAGAACTGGTTTTTGGAACAGGAAGGAAGATGTCTGGTATCTTGAGCTCTGGCTTGTCTTCCCTCACCTGCAATGATTATGATGGTCTGCTCTGTGTTTGATTTCTTGATCAGCAGCCACTAACATTAGAGTCATTAGTCAGCCTCACTCAGCCAAGCGCCGCACAGCTTTCCATTTTATCTTCCTCCAGCAGCAGTGGTGCATTTCATTGTTGCATATGTTCTCACTTATTGCTTTAATATGCCATAGCTTGGTACCAGTAGGAATGTGTATGTACACGCAATGAACCAGCCACTCACATGTGTCTGCTCATACATATAAATCAGCATCTGACATGCCCCCAGCGAAGTGGTGTTTGCTGCCTGCTTTAGGCTGGGGGTGTGCGTGCCCATCTCATGTGCAAGTCAGCCCTGTGCTGGCTGTCATAGCAATGGTGCAGCCACGTTGGGTCTTTGCTGCTCTTGGGAAGAAATCTCTCTCAAGCTGAGCTTAGGAATGGGCTCATCTGTAAAGTCTTTCAGGATCAACCATACTGTCAAGTAATAATAAAGCTAGTGACTGTTTATTGATTGATTATGGCTGTCTTTTCAGTTGCTGGTTTACAGGAACCTATAACAAAACAGTTTCTTTTTTATTTGTTTGGGTTCTGATGGTTATCCCCCCTCTTCCAAAAAAATACACTTCTGTGAAGCATCAGAGCGTTACTCTACATCCCTATTACCCTGCCTTTCCTATCCAAGATTTCTGGGTTGTTTTTTTTCACATGCTATTGCTTTCCAAAAGTCTTAACAAACCTTCCCATCATTAAGCTTGTCACTTTTTTTCCTATAGCTCCCGAGTTTTGTTGTCACAGCCTGGTGTGACTCTTTCTTTCAGAACACAGGAGTTGTAAGGAAAAATAAATGCTTATGCAGGTACCATGCAGGTTTCCCCACTTAGCTGTCCAGCCAGGGGTGAGGTGCTGCTTAGGAACCCGAACCAAAGAAACCAGGGCACTCCCTTTCCTCAGGGTATTACCCAGAGTAATGTCTCTCTCATATCTCCTTTGCTGCAGCCATGCCATCAGGTAACTTCCACAAATTGACTGTGCTGTATCATTTCTCCAGTGCAGAATCAATACTGTTCTATGCTGCATTTTAAGGTTTTAGCTGCAAAAGCCATTTTGCTGTGTTTCCCACGTTATCCTTTGAGTGCTGCTGTTGATTATAATTAATGCTTATAACATCCTTAGTTGTGTCAAAGAATATCCCACAGACCAATTAAGTTTACCAACACCTTTGAGGTGTTAATAAAAAATAGTACACCTCTAATTGTTCTTGTGATACCTTCCTTCTAAAAATGTCACTGTTTTACTAGAAAGCCCATGACTTAAGGAAAAAGATTTGTTTATATAAAGCAGGTGTGGTTTAGGTTAATGTATTTTACTCTGAAGCTGTGAAGTGCTAAGGGCATGCGCTTTCTCATTTGCTGCCTCTTGGCTAATGAGCTGTGTTTAAGATGTGCTAACACAGTTGCTTTTGCTTATTAACAGTTTCTGACTTTCAAGGGTACTGGAAAAACCCTGTGATGACAGCCAAGTGAGGGTCTTGTGTTTTTTGGGGGACAATTTTTTTTTTTAGGTATTTGCAATATGTCAATATAACACTGTAGTCCAATATAAAATTATCCACCCATACGCTTAAAGTGCTTTTAGAAGTGAATTTTAGGTTTTCAAGCTGCTGAAGCAGTTCTCAGACTTTTACCCAGTATTATTATATGTGCTTCACAGTTGGAGAAACAGAGGCAGAGGGAAGTGAGTCACTGAAGGCCAGATGAGTGACAGAGCTGGGAAGAGAGTCAGGGTCCCGTGGCTCACAGCACTGTTAGCAGCTCACTGGGCTGTGCAGTCGCATTACTCTTAGTTTACAGTTGGGTCACTCAAAGCACAGTGAAGTTCAGGGCCTGGGCTTGATGAGGACTGAATGCCCAAAACTCTGGCTGAACCTGATGGAAGAGTTGAACATGTAGTATGCAGAAAATTCAGCGTTGTGCATTGTTGGCAAGTTCTTCCATCGCATCAGGAGGCGACCAGGGCAGAGCCACAGGTTTCTCAGTTCAGCTTCTGGGTTTGCAGACGTGCTTCTGTGCAGAACAGCAGTGGCTGCCAAATTCAGG